ATTCAATCTGTATGCTGAGCAAATAATCCGAGAAGCTGTACTATGTGAAGAAGAGCATGGAGGAAGGCTCATTAACAACCTGCAATACGCAGATGACACAACTTTACTTGCTGGAAGTGAGGATGACTTGAAGCACTTACTAATGAAGATTAAGGACTCACAACTGTGCCAATAAGCAGCATCACGGTAAGTGGAGAAGAGTGAAGTTGTCAAAGATCTCATAGTACTTGGCTCCACAATCAACAATGGAAGCAGCAGTCAAAACATCAGATGACATATTACACTGGACAAATCTGCTGCAAAAGACCTCTTTAAAGTGCTGAAGAGCAACAATGTCTCTTTGAAGACTAAGGTGCGCCTAACCCAAGCCATGGTATTTTCAATCGCCTCATATGCATGTGAGAGTTGGACGATGAATAAGGAAGAATGAAGAAGAGTTGATGCTTTTGAGTTGTGGTGTTGGCAAAGAATATTTAAAGTTTACCAGGGACTGCTAAAAGAACAAACAAATCTCTCCTGGAAGAAGTGCAGCTGGAATGCTCCTTGGAAGCGAGAATGGCTTTGATCTACTTTGGTCATGTTGTCAGAAAAGACCATTCCCTAGAGAAGGCTATCGTGCTTGGGAAAGTGGAGGGTCAATGAAAAAGGGGAAGGCCCTCAACAAGATGGACTGACACAGTGGCTGGAATGATGGGCTCAGGTATGGCAAATATTGTGAGGCTGGCACAGGACCGGGCAGTATTTTGTTCTGTTGTACATAGGGTCACTATGAGTTGGAGCCAACTTGACAGCACCTAACAACAACAACAGTTGATGGGCACTTAGATTGTTTCAGTCTCTTTGCTTGGATTGTGAATAGTGCTATGATTGAACATGGGTGTGTATATATATATTTATGTCATGGCTCTCACTTCTTTAGGATATATACCTAGTAACGGGATTGCTGGATCAAATGGTATTTCCACTTTCATCTTTTTAAGGAATTGCCATACTGATTTCCATAGTGATTATATCCCACTGTGGACAGTCCCAATCTCTCCACATCCTCACCAGCATTTGTTATTTTCTGGCTTGTTGAACTTTGCGGTTAGTGCTGGGGCAAGATGATCTCTCGTTGTTTTGATTTGCACCTCTCTGGTAGCATAGTACCTAAGGCACTTGACTGATAACCAGAAGTCTGGTGGTTCAAACCCACCAGCCACTCCTCAGAAAGAAGACTGGGCAATCAACTTCCCTAGTGATACTGTCTTGGCAACCCAAGGAGGGATCACTATGAGTCAGGGCCGACTCAATGGCACATAACAACAACAATAACAATGGCTAATGAGGAGCTCTGGTAGCGTAGTGCCTAAGGCATTTGACTGCTAACCAGAAGGCTGGTGGTTCAAACCCACCAGCCACTCCTCAGAAGGAAGATGGGGCAATCTACTTCCGTAGTGATACTGCCTCAGGAGGGGTCGCTATAAGTCAGGTCTGACTCGACGGCACATGACAACAACGGCTAATGATCGTCAACATTTCTTCATGTGTTCGTTGGCTGCCTGAATATCTTCTTTGGTGAAGTGTCTGTTCATGTCTTCTGTCCATTTTTTAATTGGATTGTTTGTCTTTTTGATTTTCAGGTGTTGGAGTTTTCTATAAATTTTAGAGATAAGTCCTTTGTCCAGTATGTATTGCCAAATATTATTTCCCACTCTGTAGGTTCTCTTTTGTTCTGGTTACCTAGTGCCGCTCTGACAGGAATATACCACAAATGGGATGGCCTTAACAGGAGTTTATTCTTACAATTTGGAGGCTTTAAGTCCAAGTTCAAAGTGCCAGGCTCTAGGGGCTGGGTGAAAAAGCCCCTCACCCTTGGGGTCCAGCTCTGCCTCCTGCTCCCGGCCCACTGGAGCTAGAGGCATTTCTTCACTCAGACAGCTACTGGCTGCTGAGGCTGAGAAGCCCCAAGGTTGACAAGTAAAAAGGCACAGTCCCAATGTTACCAAACCACATGGCAGGCCATTAACTTAGGTCCATTGTAAGTCCCCAGGTCGGCAAAGCATAGCAGGCGGCTGAGCAACGACACGGCTACACACAGGGTCCAAGTGTGCCATAGGCTAGAAACCATTCCCCAGGCTTCTCCTTATATACAGGAAGCAGACCACTTCCCAAAGGCAGCTACTCAGCTGCTTGTGGTAGATCCCACCATGGAGTTGATTGCCAGTCTCATCATGGGGAATAACTATCACCAGCTGCCCAGCCACTCAACCAGGCCCAGCCAAGTTGACGCATAAACTGAACTACCACATCTTTTTACTCTTTTGGAGAAGTCTTTTGATGAACATAAGAATTTAATTTTTAGAAGGTCCCAGTCATCTAGGTTATCTTCTGCTGTTTGTGCATCTTGAGTGATGCTTGATAGTCTATTAATGCCATAAATTAGGGCCCCTAAGTTTGCCCCTAGGAGCTCTGGTGGCATAGTGCCTAAGGCATCTGACTGCTAACCAGAAGGCTGGTGGTTCAAACCAACCCAGCTCCTGGGAAGGAAGGTTGGTCAATCTATTTCTGAAGTGATATTGCCTCGGAAACCCAAGGAGGAGTCACTATGAGTCGGGTCTGACTTGACAGCAATGGGTAAGTTTGCCCCCATTTTTTTTGATGAATTTTATAGTTTTAGGTTTCATATTGAAGTCTTTGATCCATGTGAGGTATGGATCTTGTTTCATTTTTCTGCAAATGGATATCCAGTTTTGCCAGCACAAGTTATAAAAGAGACTATCTTTTCCCTACTTAACAGATTTTGGCCCTTTGTCAAAGATCACCTGACCATAGGTGGATGGATTTATTTCTGCGTTCTCAATTCTATACCACTGGTCTGTGTATCTGTTACTGTACCAATACCAGGCTGTTTTGACTACTGTGGGTGTATAGTAGGTTTTGAGATCTGGGAGTGTGAGACCTCCTACTTTGTCTTCTTCAGTAGTGCTTTGTTTATCCGAGGCCTCTTTCGTTTCCATATAAAATTAGTGATTGGTTTTTCCATGTCTTTAAAGAATGTTGATGGAATCTGGATCGAGATTGCATTGAATGTATAGATTGCTTTGGGTAATATTGATATTTTCACAGTGTTCATTTTTCTATCCATGAGCATGGTATATTCTTCCATTTATGTAGATGTTACAGTTTCTTGAAGTAGTGTTTTGTAGTTTTGTTTGTCGATAGGGTTTTCAGTGGCTGAGTTTTCAGAAGTAGATCACTAAGCCTTTCTTCTGAGACACACTTTTAGTCAGCAGCTGAGCATGTTAACCATTTGTGCTACCCAGGGACTTCATATAATAGAGTACATCATAAACTATACCAGAGCAGTATATTGCAGGAGCTCTGGTGGTATAGGGGTTAAGGCATTTGGCTGCTAACCAGAAAGTTGGTGGTTCAAACCCTCCAGCTGCTGTACAGAAGAAAGATAAGGCAGTCTGCTTCCATAAAGATTTACAGCCTTGGAAATCCAATGGGGGACTCTGTGAGTCAGAATCAATTCAATGGCAGTGAAAAAAAAAAAAAAAGAAAAAGCAGTATATCATAGGGGTTAAAAGCATAGGCATTGGAATCAGACAGACCTGGGTTCAATCTCAGTGGTATCACTTCAGAAAAGTTACTTCACCTCTGTAAATGGTGATGATGAGGGTATCTACATCCTGGGATGATTTAGAGGATTAAATTAGAAAATGCTCATAAAATACCTGCACAGTGCTTATAGTACATAGTAAGCCAGACCTCAAAAATGTTAGTCAATAGTCACTATTCAAAGACTAAAAGCTCCTTGAGGAGGCATCGGTGGTTGAGTGGTAGAATTCTCACCTTCGATGAGGGAGGCCCTCACTTCTATCAGTGGAGGCTTCTCTGTTGCTCTGATGATGAACAGGTTTCAGCAGAGCTTCCTAAGACATTCTAGGAAGAAAGGCCTGGTGTCTACTTCTGAAAATCAGCCAATGAGTACCCTGTGGATCACGATATTCAGATCCACAACCAATCATGGAGATGGCACAGGACTGGGCAGTGTTTCATCCATTGTGTGGGGTCATCATGAGTCAGCAGCTAACAAGCTCCTTGAGGGAGGGAGCTTTTCTGATTGGTGCTTTACTTCTGTATATCCCTCCAGTGCCTGGAGAAGAGATGCCTGTGAATATTTATGAATGAGTGAGTAAATGCTTAAATGAGAGCATCCATACAGAGCAGCTAGCACAGTGTATGATAAATTATAGTATAGTTATTGATGTTGATACACCATTCTGTAACCAGTAACACACAGTAGTTAGTTAAGAGAGAGAGTCCTGGAGTTCAACTGCCTGAGTTTGAATCCTGATTCTACTGGTTTCCAGGTAGTTAACCTAAAGCAAGCTATTTTGAATGCATCTATCTTTAAATGATGGCATCCCTGGGTGGTGCAAACGATTAAGTGTGCAGCTACTACCCAAGGTTGGTTTTTCGAATCCACCCAGAGGTGCCTTGGAAGAAAGGCCTGGTGATCTACTTCCAAAGGGTCACAGCCATGAAAACTCTATGAAGTTCAGTTCTACTCTGCAACACATGCCATAACCATGAGTCAGAATTGACTCGATGGCAACTGGTTTGTTTTTTTTATTAAATCCATAAAGTGTACTTTAAGATGTATCTCTGGAATGGGGATAAGAATAGTACTGACTTCATGGGGTTGTTAAAAGGATTAAATGAGATCCATGTCAGGCATCTAATATAATATGTACCAGGACTCTACCAACCTCTGTACTGTGTGTGCGCTGACAATTATCCTCATTCAGGATGATTATCTTTGTTTTGCTTTTGTCCTGATTAAGACTTAATAAAAGGGTCTCTATAGAAATAAATAAATTAAATAGCACCTACCTCCTAGGGCTGTGAGGAGTATTAAACAGATAATCCACAAGCACACCTAGAACAATGCTCACTGAATGCTTTATTCACTTAATGTCAACATGTCTATTACTGATTGTCATCCTCAGGTCAAACAGCAACAAATCAAAAGTGGAGACCCCCAAAACACCCAGCAGCCCCTTGACCCCCACGTTTGCTCCCTCTATGTGCCTCCTGGCCCCCTGCTATCTCACAGGGGACTCTGTCCGGGACAAATGTGTGGAGATGCTGTCGGCAGCCCTGAAGGCGGATGGTGAGAGGGTTTGGGCTGGGGAGTGGGGAGGAGAAGGGTGTCCTGAGGGCAGGGGAGGCACATTTGTTCTCTGCACCCTGGGAGTGGTACAGAAACTTTATTGTTGTATACAAGGAGGTTTAACTGTGAAGATCATATCTGGCTGGATCTCTGTGTTTCTGAATCTTTTTCAGATGATTATAAGGACTATGGTGTCAACTGTGACAAGATGGCATCAGAAATTGAAGATCATATCCTTGAGCCATGCCAGTGCTGTGGTACCTGGGCTGTCTAGCAATAGGCCTCTCAAGTGCAAGGGACCAGATAATGAGAGAGGAGGGAAAGGCTCCTGGGTCAACCCCCTGCACTGCCCCTGAAAGAGAGCTCTTCATTCTAACTACCATGTATTAAGTCTTCCACCTGCTAGCTTCTTGCTAACCTGTTTAGGAGAGTGCCTCATTCACCGTTGAGAACAGTCCCTCAGGTAAGTTCCATGATTAACCCCATTTTACAGATGAGGAAACTGAAGTTCAGAGAGGTTGAGTCACTTGCCAGAACTCATATAGCTAATAGTGGCAGAGTTGGGATTTGAACCAGAAAGTATGACTCTAGAACCAAGGGTTCAACCACTATGTGGGCAAGCTATGTCATATCATGCCTCTACTGAGCAAAGTCATCACCTCCTGGATCAGAGTAGGCAGAGAGGCCAGCATTTCTGATGTTCAGCCTTTCCCCTCTTCTCATCTCTGATGATAACAGCTCCCATTTTTCAGTCTCAACCATGTACCAAGCATGGTCCTGGGCAGCTGACACTTCTCACCTCTGTTAATCCCCAGCAATCTCTGTGAGACAGGGGCTGTTGTTCCCATTTTATAGATGAAGAAACCGAGGCTCAGGAACTAGTGGGTGTCACAGCTGGAATGGTCTTTGGGCCTGGGAGGGGAAGGGGAAGGACTTCTCAAACCTTGGTCTTTGGATTCTATGACTTGAGCTCTTTCCAACATGCCCTGCTTCTCCAACTTCTTTGAAAGAGGTCACAGGGGAGGTGACCACCAGAGTGATATGGACCCATTGTAACAAAAGATTTTTGCCTTGGGAAAAACAAATTCCTCCTCTTGGTGTCCCCACTGAATGAATGTATGGAATTTCTTTTACTGGAGACAAAGGTTTCCATGCCAAAGACAAGGAAGTATGGAAGAAGTAGGCACAGTCCCAAGGGACAGGGCTCTAAGAATCCTAGCAAGTGTCACACTGAGGGTGAGTGACCCCCTTGAGGTTTCCTGTCCTTTACCTAGAGAGCTGGATTGGGCATGTGGCCAGAAGAGGTGGGGAGGACAGGGACCAATCTGAAGGCAGCAAACTTGTCTGTGTCAGTCTCCTCCTTGAGGCTCAGCTTAATCTCTTCCAGGATATTTGGTGGTAGTTGCCTCCTGTCATCATTTAATTTCTAACTGGCATGTCTTGAGCCAACAAGTACGTTTTTGGAATTTCCTGTTAATTTAGGAGCACAGAGCATGAGAGATCAAGACAATCTTGCCTTTCATCTTTGTTTTCTCTGGAACAGTCATCCCTCCAAGCAGGTCCCTTCCACCTTCATGTCTAGTTTGAAACAAAAGGTGGATGATCTAGTACATAGTTGCACTCCGCACCCACCTTCCCATCCTCTTCCTCCCTTAAGTGTCCCTCATCTGAAGAAGCTGCATCAAACCCTGCAGCTCTTTGTTCTTAGATGGAGGGGGTGGGTTAAGTCTCGGGACTTGAATACTTCTCTTTGGAGTGACCCTGGTCTAATGTGGCAGCCATAGGACACATATATTCTCCTCTGAGGGGCTAGTGAACCAGGGTCTGCTCCCTACCTCTTCTTCTGTGGTCTTGGGAAATGGACAAGGAGTCAGGAGGAGGCGGGTGAAGGCATTGCCAGCCCTGCTGTGCCCACATATCAAGCCAATACACCCCTCCAGGAATCCCCAACAGCATATTTTTAAGCAAAATGTTTGGCTTTCATGTGTTGTGGCATATACTTTTCTTTTCACATTTTTATTCTATCAACAGCATTAAAACAATAACAGAAAAAGAAGAAATACTGTATCACCTTCCACCCTCCCATATTAGCAAGTCAGCTGTTTCTGTTTGTCCACATTCCCTGCAGCCTCCTTCTTGTAACTGGCTCTTCCCAGCAACAGCTTTGCCTTCCTGATTTTGCTCGGCTCCAGGAACCGAGGCAGCGAGGCTGTGTTCCCTGAGCTCCCAGAGGGTAGAGAAGGGTGAAGTGGGTGGGAGGCTCAGAAGCCAGCCTGGGAGGAGGGAGGCCAGTCTGGGATGGAAGGTGGAGACAGAGAATTCACTGTGGACAGGAGGGACTTCCTGCTGAGCAAGTGGAGAGAGCATCACCCATAGGAGGGCATCTGGCTTCCAGCCCGCATCTGCCGGGAATTCACCCTGTGAGCTTGAGCAAGGTCCATACTCTTTCTAAGCCTCAGTTTCCTCATCTGTTAATGGGGGAAGCAACTCTGACCAGCAATTCCCAAAGTGGGTTCCATAGATGGTAATAGGGATTCTAGGGGGTGGGCAAGAAGGGTGTTGTGGTGGTGATTCTGTGATCAGATATAGAGGGTTTCCCTGCTATCCAAAAGTAAAGCATTCCTATGAAACCTTTCATAAGCCAAAATGGCATAAAGTGGAGAAGCAATTACCATTAATTTATATGAGAAAGTTTTTGAGTGTTCCTAGACCCAAGAAGGGAGCTCTGGTAGCATAGTG